TTGCCACCCACATGACCCCAACTGGGGCTGGGGACAAACTGCAACCGAGGTACATGCCCTTAGCGGGAACCGAACCCGCGACTCTCCGATCCATGGGCCGATGCTCTAACTGCTGAGCCAAACTGGCCAAAGCAGAACATTTAGTTTTTTTATTACACTCTCAGATATAGGTAAGGTTCTTCCCCCATCCTGTCCCTTATGTCTCTTCTAATCACATCACAGGAGAAATGGGAGGATGAAGCCGCTCTGCTTGTGGCATGAGGCCTCTGGACTGTCATCTGTGACTTGGACTTGATCTCTATATACCTTCTGTCATCTCCATTGGGCTGAGGTCATGGATAAGAGTCCTCAAAGGCTAGTTATTTTTCCAGCCCCTGGGGATAGGTTGCACCCTACTCCCTTCCATTCCTGTGCAGAGTTATCAAAGGAGGTGCCCGGGCAGAGGCATGTGAGAATGCAGTGATGTGGGTCGTGTTTTGACAGTGCCGTCTTTGCTGGGATAGGAGCTGTTATGCTGACCCATGAGCATGTACCCTGTATAAGACTCTCCATAGGACTATGGGTGCAGTCAAACAACAGAACACCTACTTTCTTGCCTAAAGAATGAGGAAACTCAGGGGTGGCATTCAAGGCCCCCTAATAACCTCTTGGTTATTTTTCAAGATCATATTGATCTTAATCTATTTGAAAAATTGTTGGTATATTGCCTGAGTTAAAAACCTATATTAATTTTTTTTCCAACAGAGCCAAATTTTATAAAAATTATTTACTATTTCATAGTCATTGGCCTTTTAAAAACACAGGATAAAAGAACATTACCTGACTTTAAACAAGCAACATTTTGTTTTTTCTTGCCCTTCCCTCATGCTTTATGATACACAGAAAAGTGGTTCCTCTTAAGGTAAGGTAAGATAAACCAGTGTTTTAAAAAGCCATTATTCCATATTAGAGCATGTCAGGTCACAAGCATGTCCAGAGGAGATGCCAAACAAGCTTTTAGTGCCCAATGCAGTGTGGCAGCAAAGACAGCATGTGTGGAGGGGACATGCCAGTCTCATTCCACATGACTGTCGAAGCGCTGTACCAGGCTGCAGTAACATTGTCCAGACTATTAGTTTTACACAGACATGGACTCTGAAGGTCCAGCTCTGCAAGGGGTGGAAAGTGTCTGCTCCAGAGCACCTTGTTCTTATTTAACCAGTCACTGGGCTGCCCGGGAGCTCACTACACAGAAGCTCCTGTTAATGAACCATCTCACACGAGGAAAGATTAAGCTGATTTATTTACAGTATCCAATTCCTATTCTGCAATATTTTATCCTATAGTTAGATTAGCTAGTTTGCCAAGGTTATTCTTTGAAAAATAAACTTAAGGGCTGTTAATATTCCATATATGAATGCGTCATTACTTATTATTTCCTTACTATCTAATTTTATATTTTGCCATGTACATAAATTTTCATTTCTCAGCTCTGATTATTCCTTTTGGCTATATTATCATAAGTGGGTTTACAGGGCCAATGATATAAATTATTCCAATGGTTTTTTTGTTTGTTTGTTTGTTTTTACATATTGTCAAGTCACTTTTCGAAATGTTGACTTCACAATCTTACCACTGCTATTTGAGAATAATTAAATTAGCACTTTCTTCTCACAGTTAAACATTTCTTCATCCTTGCCATTTTGATAAGTAAAAAATAATAAATTGCTTTCATTGTATTTTTATTTCTAAGGTGATCATATATATGTTTATTTTTCATTTGCATTTATCCTTTTATAAATAAATCTATTCTTGTGCCTATTTTTCCACTGGGGGGTGTTAATATTTTTCCTAATGATTTGTAAGAACTCTTTCTATATGACATATCATATAACATATCATAACTCTTTTTACATTTGTTTTAAATATTTTATCCAGTTCGTCCTTAGCCCTTTAACTTGGTTGTTTGTTTTTTTAATCCTCACCTGAGGATTTTTGTATTTATCTTTAGATAGAGCAGGAGGGAGAAAGAGAGAGAGAAAAACATAAATGTGAGAGAGACACATCGAGTGGCTGCCACCCACATGACCCCAACCAGGGCTGGGAAAAGTGCAGCTGAGGTACGTGCCCTTAACAAGAACCAAACCCGGGACTCTGGGGTCCATGGACCAATTCCCTAACCGCTGATCTATACTGGCCATCTTTTAATAATACTTTCTAATCTCTGGAAGGCTTGATTATTTAGATTATTTATGCAGTTCAAATCTATCACAATTTTTCTTTGTGAATTCTTTTATAACTTCTCATGCTTTGTTTATTCTGAAGTAGAGATTATGCAATACTCAATTCATATCATCCATTTGTTTTGGTTCATTTCTTACATTTAAATCATTAATATATTTGTGAAGTAGCTGGGTAGTCAGCATAAAGTAGAATTGTTATTTCTTCTCTCCAAATAAGAAAAATTTTAAGCATTATCTACCCATTTCTTATTGCTTTGCTATATATCTTTTAGTGACAGGTTTTCAGAAATTCTAAGGTCAATTTGGAGGCTATCTATTCTGCTCCATTAATCTATGGTTGATTTTTATAACAGAAGCATATAGTTTTAATCATTATAGCTTTACATTATTCATTTTGCTATCTAACAAGAAAAGTCCTCAGAATTATTTTTTTCTGGAATTTACAAATAATCTATAGGGATATTTTTTTAAGTTCTAAAAAATATTTCAGCCCTGGCTGGTTTGGCTCAGTGGTTAAAGCATTGGCCCATTAACCTAAGAGTCAAAGGTTTGATTTTTGTCAAGGGCACGTACTTTGGTTGCAGTTTGGTCCCCTTCTCTGGTTGGGGTCATGCGGGAGGCAGCCAATTGATGTGTCTCTCTCACATCAATGTTTCTCTCTCTCTCTCCCTCCATCACTCCCTCCTTCCTTTCTACTCAATCTAAAAATTATTGAAAAAATATCCTCAGGTGAGTATTAAAAATTAAAGGCTCAGGGTATGCAAGTATGCAAGTCTGGATGCCAGCCACTGGGTGCTCTCCCACCTTTGTGGTGGGGCTTGGTCTCAGGGAATCACCAGGGTGCAGCCAGCAGTTAATCAGGCCCAAAGAGACCAACACTGGGCCTTGTGAGGGCAGGGCTGTGCACTGCTCAGGCATTCAACAAATAAAAACCCATCCTAGAGCCACCCAGTCTGCAAAATTCTTCCCAGAGAAGCCATAGCTCAGCAGCGTGGGGCCACCAGGGGCCTGGAGGTTGGAACCAGTGGATCTCCCATAAGGGGGAAGCACCAGTCAGGTTCACAAAAAAGTTTGGGGAATGGCCTTTGCCCCAGAGCCATACAACTCAGCCAGGGACAGCCCCTGAGTCTGCCCAGCCAAAGCAGCTGACTCTTTAGCAGGGCGTAAGGTTATCAGGGTGGGGTGAGAGGAGTCAGGGTGGCACCACTGCATTCCCCCA